AATTGCATAATATGGCATGAAGATCTCTAACTTGACCCAGCCGCCACTTGAGAGTGACACTCAACACACTAACACCTTTGTCAGTCTCATCCTCACTGGTGACAGTCGTAGCCTTTTATGTGGATTGGACACTATTTAGGCAATTCATCTTACTCGATGAGGAGATTTATGTTTTTAATCACATAGATGGCAACTGAGGAAGCTTGTTTTTATCTGCAAATATCATGAATAGATTTTTAAAGTATTAAGAGTGCATACAAGGTGCCTGATTATCTACTTAATGAGCGTCTCCGGAAAACATAATCAGATGTCTGTGATATATGTGCCTCCCTAATTAATCATTTGAGAGAGGGGACTCTCATTGGCAACTTCTTTTAATAAATCATGACAGAGCTCAGTGCCCCTCAGTCATGCTCTGCCAAAGTAGCCAAAGGAGAAATTGTAAAGACTACAGCTGCTCATTGGGGCTGTGATGTAAAAGCTACACCAGATGCATGTTAAGGCCTTGCCTCTTTTTAGAGTTAAGCGAGCTCTGTTCCTCTGTGCAGTGGCCACTCAAAACGACCTTCATAACAAGGCGCCGCTGAGGCTTACCCACGGGTTAGAGAGTGAGAGAGATGCGGTGGCACACAGGCTGAATGAAGAGTTGTTGAAGTTTGTTGTCCCAGCTAATGGGAGCTGACACACACTGGGGCGTGAAATGACTTTTAGTGATCACGACGATAGCACCTCGTTCCTATTCAAATCAGCACTCCTGCTTTAAGACGGCTTAAACAGGCACAATGAAGATAAGCTCCCATGAGTTAATGACAACCGCAGTGCGAGGGACCTATAAATCATGCTTGTCTTAATTTTGTTTATATTTATAACCGCTCATATAATGGAGTAGTTTATTTCAGAATATGCTGTTCGAAGTTGTTCCTTTTCAAAAATTATGTTTCAGTTTAATTGGCCATCTGAAGAAGTGAAATATGTTCCCAAAGGTGCAGGAGACCTAATTAGTAGAAAACTTGCTTTGTTTGCGAATAGAAAAAGTGGGGAGCTCATTTGTGAATCCGCCATTAGACCCCGAAGGGAGAGAGCGAGGTCAGATGAGCTCTGATCCTCCAGAGTATCAACAAACAGGCTCCACCGGAATCAAGAAACGCTGTTGGAGGAAATCATAAAACCTTTCAGGAAACCTGAATTCAGATTTGCTGTTTCAAAATTGTGTTTCCTCTCAGAGTCTAGAGTTAAACTTCTGCTAGGAATGTGTCCTTTCTATGTTGTGACATTATGTTTTCCGGTTGTCTGTCCGTCCATCCTATTCTTGTGAAGATGATATCTCCAGAATGCTGAGAGAGAATCTCCTCAAATTTGGTACCAATGTTCAGTTAGATTCACAGATGAACTGTTGAGAATTTTCTGGTTACAGATAAAAAGTTAAGGTCACTGCGACCTTACAAATCACATTTATGGTCTAGTGAATGTAACAACTCAGGAACACCTTACAGGACTTTCTTCATAGGGAGTTTCATTAATCTGGCACATTCACTTGGACTCCAGGAAGACCTGATTAGAATTGTGACCTCATAAAACACATTTTTGCCTCCTGAACATGTTTTCTGATCGAGAAAGAATCTTTTCTTTTTGTTTTGTGACAAATGTTCACTTAGAATCACAGAGTAACTGATCAGACCTGGAAAAATGGAGACTGAAACTGCACTGGTTGATGCATACAAGCGCCATGCAGTATTTCTCGTTTGCACTGTGTAATTGAGTCAGTGTAAAATACAGGCAGCATTACAGCTCTAAATCCATATAAATGGAAGTGACCTTTGCTTTGCGTCACGCTGGGTATTTGACAGATCACTTGAGTTTTTCCATGTAGTTTGCAAAGCTCATTTGCAGTTTTTCCTAAGTAGATCAATGTTTCTAACCTCCTCATCCAAACATACAATGACCTCAAGAAACCCTTGAGTAAGACCGTGGCAGTGGACCAAATGTGGATATATTACTGAAAAAGTGTCTTTAAAGAGCCCAGGCTCTGGCATGGCAGCTTCAACATCTGCCAAACTGTTCTCACTGTATTTTTGAGAGTCTCTGACAAGAGAGCTTGTTTGGTCTTGACAGCTGTGGAAAGAGATGACGGATGCAACTTGCAGTTTCTCCTAAATAATTGATTCTTCGAAAAAGTTCTGTGCGCCACACACAAAGAAATCTCACCAGTCTTCCAGCGGCACCACAAATCTTCCTCGCTGCCACACACCAGGCTTCCCTCCAAGGGCACGACTATAATCACCGGCTCTGAATTGCTCGAGCAGGTGCACTGAAATAGAGACAAGTTATAGTATTCATCTCCCCAGCTCACAGGAGCATTGTGCAGTTGGCTTCTAATGTTACACGGCTTGGCTCTGTGCGTAAGGCCGGTCACTGTGCCTGTGAATCTTGCCCCCAGCTATCAGCACAAAGACGCCATAACTGGGCCCAGACTGCTGCCATAATTTCCACTAAGTTCAGAAAATGAAGCCACTTACGGAGCTCTGAGCGATCAGAACTGTTTCAAGCTGGGTTCATCTGATGTTCTTTGTGGTGCAAGGCCCTCTGTGGCTCTTCTACAAGCAACTGCAATCCAGGCATTTTCTTCTCTTTTCTCTCGTTCTGGTCAGACACCCTTCTGGTGCATAATGACATGCTCAGGACAAACCTCCTCCTCAGCACTTCTTCTACTCTGCTTGGTGGCAGAGTGAAACCATCTTTGTCCACCTCAGCAGGTGAGATGGGTGCTCACACAAAAGATTCTCTGCAAAGTAAAGATTTTTAGATTATCATTTCATTACATTATCATAACAGATCTTCTTTTTTTTTTTTACAAATCAAAAGAAAGTTCCTCTATCAGGCTCTTTGATTTATAGGGAATAGAGAGATTTATATTTGTAATTTTTAGCCATTAAAGCAGTATGGATGAAATTGCAGGTTCATCATTTTTGTTCAGATTTAATATTTCAATGACTGTCCATCCAGGTTTGGTGTTAAAAGTTTGAGACATGCCTTTTACCCAGAGAATAAACTTGAGTGACTGTAGCAATTCTTAAGCCACGTTTTGACCTCAGGAACTGTCCCCTGGAACTAAGACTCCCTTCGTTTCCACCGTAAGGAACAGAGTCTCAATAGAGTTCTTGGGAAATCGTTTTACTCCGCAAAAAGTCCCTAGTCAGGAGTTATGAATTTCAGAGTACTCCAGCTTTTTTATCAGCCACCAATTAAAAAAGCCTGTAGCTGCATATGCAAGTTTTAAAATGTATGCCGTTGTCTTGCAGCCGCATTATGGAGCCACAGAGGAGAGCCTACGACTTTTGAGCGAAACCCAGGTCCCACTTTAATCTATTATTCCAAACAGTTTGGTACAGAAAATAATTTACCCCTCAGGATGAATGATAATGACTTTTAATTTTGTTGTCATCATCATGACAAAATGTGTCCATGATAGGCCTGCAACCAACAATTATTTATATTATTGATTCATTTCCCACTCATTTAGTCAAAGTAATTTGTTTGTAAAATGTCCGAAAATGGGGAAAAATGGCATCATAAATTTCCAAAGCCCAAGGTGCATGCAAGAGTCTGGTAGTGTCTGAATAATCATTCAGAACCCAAACATTCAGTTTATTGTCACAAAAGTGTAAGAAGATGTAAACTGATTAATCAGTTAAATTAGTTGCCAATTAATTCCAGTTCAATTAAGTGTAATTATTTCAGCTCTTATATCTAATATTAATACTCTTATGTCTAATATTTTAGTTTTTCACCAAATTCCTGAAAATCTGACCTTTCCATCAGCTATCAATATACTTGTGTCTATATCGGATGGATAAATGGTAAACATTATACCTGCATTCTTATTATTCTTATTATGACTGTATTGTGCAAATGTGAGCATGCTTACTGTAGCATCTTTCCATAGCATTTCATTTTGGCTGCCTCGAAGGTATTCTTGGGTCATTACATTCAACCTTAGGAACTGAAAGAATATTTGAATGTGCCATAGTTTTCATATAGAGCTGCAATATTGCAAGTGACGAGTCATTCAAAAAGCATATGCTATTATCAGAGCTATTACTTGATGCAGTGCCTCCAGTCTAAACACAATACCCAATCTCTTTTGCAATTTATTTTCCTGGTCTTTGGGTTGATGATACAATTTTTCAGTCCATCTCCTCAGATGATTAGCAGACCTTTGCCTCTATAGGCAGCCCTTTATATTCTCCATCACGCTGTGTGCTCTCATATATTTCTATTGAATGGTTGTTAGGCTGCAACACTGCTGAAGCGCACTGTAAAGATGAAATGTTCCCTCCCCCTCTTGCCCAAAGCCTGTATATGAATCTATGTGACATACACTGCCAGAAACACAAACCCGCATTATTGTATGCCTTGACTCTAAGCAGGCATTCGCTTTCGATCAAACATGCACACTCACACTCAAATAAACAAGCACTCTTCCCCCTGGAGTGTCCCGAGACCCTTGGGGCCCCGCAACTCCAGCCCCCCAGCCTGGCCTCTTTAATGAGGACTGGCCCCTGTGTGTTTGATCCTGCTGCCAGCTCGCAGCCCTGCGGCCCCTCAGCCTCATGCCTATTCAACAATCCCCACTGCCTCAACAGTACACCCCCCCATTGCCTTGGGTAGACTATGGATCCAAAGCAAAAGCACTCCTGGGTGGTTGTTCGATATCAAAGCCTCACTGACTGAAAATGTGAGGGGATGAAGAAAAAAACAACAATTTAGCTCGGTGCTTTGAAGACTTACCAGCAGCTCTGGAACTGCACATTGAGCTGTGCTTTTAGTTTTGTCAGATGCTCTTTAAAAATGTCATCTGTCGACTGTTAAAACCCAAGAAAGATTTGAGGTTTCAAATGCCAATTAATTGGTTTCACCAGGACTGTGGTCTTGGCATAAAGCACCATTCAAAGCCTTCTAATGTACTCTCTAACATGGCACTTCTTCTGTTTTGTGCACAGGATGGAGGTCTGCTGATTAACAACCCCACAGCACTGGCTGTCCATGAGTGCAAGTGTTTGTGGCCTAACACACCCTTGGAGTGTGTGGTCTCGCTCGGCACAGGTCGCTTTGAAAACCCCGGCAAGAACAACACCACCTACACGAGTCTGAAAACCAAAATCACCAATGTCATCAGCAGCGCCACCGACACTGAGGGTAAGTGACAGCTCCTGCAGAGTCTTAAAGATGCATTGTGTAATTAAGAGTTTCACAAAGCCATGTGAAACTGACCTAATTGTATCTTGAAATGTAAAGTCTAATTGTGTAAAATCTAGTTGATGTAATTTTCCTTCCTGGTTTACAAAATAGTGTAAATACCTTGAAAAATAAACTTAAAACAGCACACTTGTGATTTTACATATAACTAGAGTGGCACTAAGTAAACCACATACCTCCACCAAGGCAACAACACACCCAATACGAAATCAAAAATTTTAATTCACTATATCCAGATTTTTATTTGGATCTGCACCGAATTCCACACACTCATAGAAATCTGTCCCCTAAACATTTTATTTCATCTAGATTCACAAATTATTCTCTGAGAAATCAAGGAAAATGTTGAATAACACCCAATCTCGCAACGTTAAAGAAAAAAAATTGAATTCCTGGATACGCCCCCTGATGTGGATCCGGACCAAAATTGAATAGGTTTTTCCCTGACCCATATTGCACTAAATTTCGTAAACTGTCCAGTTGTTTTAGATCCTGACAGACAAACAAACGCAGAAAAAACATAACCCCCATCAGTGTCAAGAGGAGAAGTAACTGTAGAAAGTAGCTGTGTGAACAGTTGTATATTGTCTTCTGTGTCTCTGAAGGACGACTTCTCACATTTGAGAAAATAATGACGAACAAGTCCTCAGGATTATCTTGCCTTGGGCTTGACGACTGTAAACTCTGTACTGTACTAACTGGAGTTTAGCATTTCGAGAGTGTGGGTGTTTAACAAGCAGAGAGGCTCTTACAAAACCTAGTCTTGGCTGCATTATAGGAACTGCAGGATCCATTAGTGTTTTCAGCTTCGAGAGAGAATAATTCAGGATGTGTCATCTTCTGATTCTTTCATTTTTAACTATTGATCATTCTATAAGTTCTGTCTTGTAAATCCTTAATAGATCTGCAAAAAAAGGGTCATATGTGGTTGATTTCATTTGATCAACTATACAGTAGCTCTGCCACATTATAGGTCAATGTTCAATGAATCATAATCGTATTGTTTTTTCATTGAAATAAGTCAAAAACACTGAAACTCTACTTATTTTGTTGATGGACACAAATGTGATGTCAACAGTAATGAGCTCCACATTACATTGATGATTGGATGGCTGTAAATAGATGTTATTCAACTTAATGTCACCCTCTGGTATTGTTATACCACCACGGAGGTGACAGCCAGTGGCTGAAGGCATTATGTTTTTAGGTTGTTTGTCCGTCCATCCCTTTTTAATTGTTATTTCAAGAATGCCTTGAGGGAATTTCTCTAAATCTGGGACAATTATTCACTTGGACTGAAGGATGACTTGATTTGAATTTGCAGGTCAAGATTCAAAGTCACGTTCGACTGTTGAACATACAGTATCTCAAGTCTGCTTCTAGAGTATGACATCAAATTTTGACCAGTTGTCACTTAGACTTAAAAATGAGCACATTAGATTCTAGTGGTCAAAGGTCACAATAACCTCATCTGAGTCTGGAAAAAAAAATGTGTCTTGTTATTTTAGTTTTTCAATGTGCATTTTTTTTTCTGGTACTGAAGATTAAATCATTGCACATTTTAACCAGATAGTGATGTTTCTGCATCATTTGTTAAAGAATGAATGAGGTTCTTATGTCATTAGTGCAGAAAATGCTGTTCTGCAGCCTGACTTTGTTCCGAATACATCCCATTGTGGCCATCTACAGTGACAACCTCTTCTCACCCCTTATCACCTCTGGACACGGACACCTCTGCTATGCCTAAATTTGGCTCGGTCTCCTCCCTGTTGTTGCTGCGGTGGTACAGTGTGTGACCTAGATGCTTCTCTGTGCCGGCTTCTCCTGTATTTGGGATTAAACTCTCACCAGCCTTTTCAAAGCACTTTGTTATTTAGAAACAGCAGATTAGTAAGAATGTTTCCAAAGCTCCCGCCCTCTGCCACAGCCTCCTTCTTTGTCTCAGGTGTTTTAGTGGAGCTTTCTTTGGCAGGTTTTCCTTACTCTTGTTGAGGACAGAAGATGTCGCACCTTGTTAAGGCCTATGAGACAAATTGTGATTTGTGAATATGGGCCATTCTAATAATATTTGATTGATGATTGATGATTGATTATAAAAATCAAATAGTAAAAGTTAATAAAATACCTCCAGATGAATTACTGCCTGAGTTTCGACAGCCTCAAATGCAGCCAGTTTTAACAGAATTCTTCTGAACTGCTGTGGGAACTAACAGGACTCACAGTCAACCCAAATTCACCCCAGCTGTTTGTTTGCATTTGAACGTTGATGATATTAAACCTCTCAGATGAAAACAGCCATGACAGAGCAGCATTTCAGACATTTTCACTTGGTACAACCTCACACATTTCAGCCCTGAGCGCTTCCTCTGGAACATGTTATGCTGTCACTGCACTGACAGATAAGCTTTGACTTTACATGCCCTGTTTGCTGTTACCACAGTGTTTGAATGTTTGTGCGTATTATAAAGTTAATCGTCTGTTTATAATTTTGTTTTTGTGGCCTCTCTTTCGCCTCTCTTGCTTCCCCCAGAGGTTCACGCCATGCTCGACGCCTTTCTACCTCCTGACACGTATTTCCGCTTCAATCCCTGCATGAGCCAAGAAATTTCCATGGATGAAAACCGAGAGGAGAAGCTCAACCTGCTGCTGGACGAGGGCGTCCACTACCTGGAGAGGAACAATGAGAAGCTGAAGAAGGTAACGCGCATCCTCACCAGAGAGAAGAGCTCCGTCCAGAGGATGACGGAGTGGGCGAGGCTCAGAGCTGACATGTATAATGGTCTCTCCTTTAACTCCTCTAAGGTGTAGATCCATCGTAAGCCACCTTTACTTCACATGGAAATATGTCCTTTTATTCTAAATTGCCTAGAATAGGTCTTGTCACCATGATTAGTGTGCCAGAGTTGTTGACTCCTTGTAGCTAGACGAACATTGTGTAAACACACAAGTAGATAATGTATCGAACATGCCAACACTACCTTCCTCATCACTCACACTTTAACAGTTAGGTGAGTTTCTTTTATTTTTTTGGGGCAGAAAAAAAGCATGTTTTTACCTCTGTGGTTTGGCAGCTTTCAACTTACTGTCGCTTTCAAAGACGATGTGTCAAAGGATAGGCGGATTTGGGAAATCCCTGAGAGCCTCACAAGTAAATGCATGTTGATGATTAAAGGAAGAGTTTAACATTTTGGGGCAATGTGCGTGTTCACTACCTTGCCAAGAGTTTAGATGACGAGATCAATACCACATTCATGTCTGTACAGTGAGTATGTAGCTGTCCAAAGACTTGCAGATCGGGGATTAGGTTGATTGGAGATTTTAAATTGGCCGTAGGTGTGATTGTGAATGGTTGTTTATCTTTGTATGTTGACCCTGTGATGGACTGGCGACCGGATCAGTGTCAGCTGGGATTGGCTCTAGTTCCTCCGCGACCCTCAAAGGTTAAGCCTTATTGATACGAGATGTATGTGTGTGAGTATGAAGCTGCTAGCTTATCTTAGCACAGACTACAAATGGGGGGGGGGCAGCCAGCCTGACTCTATCCTGAGCAGTCAGGCTAAGCTAACCCAACCAGCTGTGTACAGATGTGAGACTGGTATCGACCATCGTATCTAACTTTCAGCAAAAAAACTGCATATTTAAGAAGTAAGTACATTTCCTAAATGGAAGTCAAAATTTGAATTGAATATGTGAACTAAAATGTTGATCCTCCCCTTAAAATAGCATAAAATACTGTAAGATTTTACAGTAGCATCAAAGACTGTTTTATCCCAAAGCACTTTTGAACAATTTTCTTTCCTTTGGAAAATTTGTTATGAAAACATATACATCAACCTGTGTTTGTACAGAAGAAATATGTAGATGGGATATATGTTATTTAAAAGATGTATCTGTTAAGCTTTGCCAACACATAAAAACAAGAATGTAAAGAAAGAACAAGACAGGAAAAATGAATGGTCTAATCAAGGTCAATAATTTCACAGTTGAAATGACTGAAATTTGCACATTTATTAATACGTCAACTGGTCAACTATGTGATTGCATAGTGATCGATGTAACAGCTGTACCACTTCAGTCATTACTGTATTACTCATGTTATATTTAGATTTTACGCATAAAGACAGTTTCTATGGGTGTACGTTGCAAAAATTTGCTCCAATTTTGATTTTGAATTCATCTGTAATTAGTGATAATAATGATGATGTCTAAATAGCACATATATATATATATATATATATAGGTATTAATACTTATATTAATATAAGTATTAATACCTATCATAATGCAGCCTCCCTGTCATCATGACGTACTTGTATGTATTATTTTAGCCTGAAAAGTATTTTAGTTCAGTTGTTCCTAAAGCTTTTACCATTGTATGCTTGATTATATGGTTTTATGGATTCCCCACAGGCTATGCACATTTTCTGCTCCTTTTCAGAGTTCCCTTTGATGCCTCTTCTCAAAAGCCTCTTTCCCCCTCTCTACCTTGAAGTGCTGTGTTTCTGCTGTACTATAGCGTTTATTTAAATCATACAGGTTTAAGCTGGAAGACTGACTTAAAAGAGATTTGTGCGTATTGATTTGCCATGGCTACAAATGATCCTGTTAAATTAAAAAAATTTAAAAAAGCACTTTGTCTTCACAGCTAACCTGGTCAGGTACTGTTTAACTGGTCTCAGGGGACCAGGGGTGAAATGGACTCAGATATTATCCAGATTAATGTAATTCCACTGTTCTCCTGTTTGACGTTGTATGTAATTAAAACCCGTCACTGAACCTTGCTGCATCTCGCCTCGTAATTATGTGTAGATTAGCTGATTGTGATCAGCGGGAAGCTGCTGCGGATCATCTCAGGAAGGAGACATGTGCGGATATGAAGTCGGCAACTTGTTCTCACAACTGCATAATTACTCAAACAGAGATCTGCTCTGATACGCATCCTTACCTCAATTTCCGAGATGCTTTGCTTGATTAGCGACAAATTCCGATGTATGAAATCATGACTGCAGGCCCATCTGGAACTGCCTGTGTCTATCTCCCTCTGTTGAGTGTTGTTTTGTGTGTGGCAATGTGTATATTTTTTCAGTGGAAGGTAATTTGTCCCGTCCCTGAGCTGTTCATCATAAAAGAGAGGAAGGTGAGATGAGATGACTGTGCAAGGCTGTGCTCAGGCACCTGGGTAACGGCCCCGGCTGGTGATAGATCACATTTCCCTCCAGCATAAACACTTTACACCGGCAGAGCTCTCCGACAACTGCTTACACGCATGAAAACACAGCCATGGCCGCAGAAGGTAGAGAACACAACAAACAGCATCAACAGTATGTTGTGCAGAGGAAAGAATACATAGTGTAGGTCTTTTATATATGTTGTTTTTATCAGGAATTTAACTGCAATACAAAGCAAACGGTAGAAATAGACGCTGACTAAATATATACTGAAAAGAGTATCCTACATATTTTTCAGTTGTAACTAATGAAACCTGTCACCTGAACACATCCGTTTGATTATTCAAAATTCTGATCTTTTCACAGATATGTGATTCATCCAGCAAAAAATGAGAATAACCGTCATCTCTTGATGAAGAGCCTTATCCTCTTGTAATCTACTGATTATATTATATGATACGATCATCAGTCTGTTCTGTTTTAAATCTACAAAAGCAAAGAGGCAGTAAATTGTTGAGTAATCGCACAGAACAAAAGGAAGTTGTTCCGTTATTTGTTGACAACTTTTCTGACACCAAAGCACCAGAATAATCAACGTACATTAATTTAGAAGTTCTTTTGTTCCTCTAATTAATGCGAACTATCGGCTTTAAAAGAAGATATCACATTATCTGACATCAAAAAAACAATCAACCGGTCTCCATTATGGTCCACAGTGCATCTAATTAGAGAACTAAGCTGCAAATAAGAAATGACCAGTGTAGCATTCCTGGCTGCAGGGATTTCCAGGAGATGTGGACTTGACCTCTTCGCTGCTGCACCTTGTGACAAGATCACTATCAGAACAATTACTCTAACTGTCCACTGTGCTGTAAACACCATCTGTCTGTACGCATTTGTGGTTCTTTGTTTGATCCAGAGGAGCTCGGCCTGACGGTGAGTCTTGTCTCTGATCACATGTTGAATCTCCAGGCAGATCCACAGTAAGTTCAGTGAGTGAGGAGAGGGGAGTTACTCACAGTGATGAGTAGGCAACACAATGTCTTTATTTCAATGAAGGACATTTTGTATAGATGTAAATGAGAAAACCTGTTTCTATTTCTGTGTTTTTGTGAGAATAGAGAGTGGATCAAGATTTAATGTTGGCTCTTAAAATTAGCCTTGAACATTTTCTCCTGTTAAATGTGGTCCTGTAGTTTCTTCCTCTGACTCATAACTGTGACACAGAAGTGAGGAAAGATTAAACCCTTAGATTTGGTCATTAAAAACCGGGGAAATTATTCATTTAACACATCAATTCTTGATTTAACCAAGGGGCCAAAAGCAGAAGATTGTGGTACTTTTTTACCACTGCTATGTTTTCACCTGTGTCTCTGTGTTGGTGCATTTGATATCAAAAATTACAAAACTGAAAACCTGGGTCTGGGGAGTACCTATTATATATTGGTACATATGTGGAAAAAGGGTGAATCTATATTTTCTTTCTCACTTTCTTTAATTATGTATTATGGTGGAGGACGTTATGTTTTCATATGTTTGTTTGTCAGCACCATTACACAAAAGATACTGAACGGAATAACATCAACTTGGTGGAAGAGACAGAACAAACTGCTTTGGTTTGTGATACAAGCACAAATATATTAATAAAGAAAATCATCAAAAGCAGTTTGCAAACTGATCATTGTAGTTGGAACTGAAAAAAGAAATTCACAAATCACAAGGAGTCACCTGCTCCTGTTTATCCAACATGTTACTGACACACAGGTGCTCCGTAGTGTAACTACATCAGTAGACTCATGTCATGCTCCCCTGTGTGTTAACATGATTAGGCAGCCAGTAAAGGCCGCTCCTACTCAATGTGAGGAAGTTCTAATGTAATTCAACAGCAGACTGAGAGAGGAAATGCTTTCTCCACTGATGTAAACAGATCTGACTCATGAACTCGTCCCCCGGCAGTGATCACATCAAATAATAGTAATTAGATTTCTTCTGCACCTTTGGCCAAACCGCCACACTCTGAACATGTATCTGTCTCTACAGTCCATGTCACGCTGATCTCAAGGGGGTTTCAACAAGTACCTTGTTTTCCCATCTTTGTAGTTATGTAACAACAGTTTATCCTCAGGGCGGCTGCTACTCAATTAAACCTCACATTTAGCTGTAGCAAATAAACCCAGCTCATTAGCACTCAATTAGTTTTTGAGCAAGTGGCTGATGATGAGAGATGATATCAGGGGTTTAATTTAAAAATACGATTGGTACATTTAAAATAAAGTTTCAGAAACACAAGTAATAAAACCTGAGAGACCATCAACCATCGACCCCCCCAGGCCCCAAAGTCTCTTGTAACGCCTCTGCATTTACACAAGCATAATCAACCCACAACATTCTGAATATTGTGACTCATTTAGAGATATAACATCATATTGTGAACATATTGTGGCTTTAACGTCGTCTCAGGCGGCTGTGACTTGATGTAAACTCTGACTGTGAGCCTGGTGATCTGTGTTGATTCTGTGTTATTTAATCACCACTTCAGATGGGAACCAGGCCATTTCATGGTCGGCTTGCTGGTGCTGCATCTGTTATCTTCCCTGCTCTGAAACGGATATAAAGAAAAAACAACTGAGTCAGTGAATAAAAACAGGCCAAGTGATGACTGTGTTTCTGCTGCACAATAGCCACGCCACGTTTTTTTTCATGTCAGCGAGCAGAGGATGGTGAGGATCCACCACAGTAATGGGCACAATAATTGGAGTTAGCAATGCGGCAGAGATGTGGGTTTTTACATTTCAACACAAAGCTCTGACGAGATTCACTACTTGCAGACTGCTAACTTAGTCTCCACGGTGCTGTATCCATGAACTTGTGAGAATCCCTCAGAGTATTTTGTGGATAATATGCACGGGGGAAATTAAGGGAATATTTTAATGAGATTCAAGAGGTATTCAGACATATCTGGAGGCAGTCTGAACCGAGAAGCGAGCACAATTACAGTTCCTCTCAGCTCAGTGTTGAGCTGAGGAGGAAGATGTGAGCAAGAATCCCCTTGTCCCATCATTTGATGATGAGGGAAGCTGCTGCTTTCCATGCTGGGGGATTACGTCCAGCAAATGACCTTGACCATGTGTCAGCATCTCTTTCTCTCTGTTTTTCTTTACATGTGCTCTGGAGTAAAGCAGAATGCCTCAGGAAGTACGTCACATAAAAATAAGAAGGATTGAACACTGAAGAAAGCCAAACAATGTTAAGAGAGATCACAGGTTTTCCCCTTTAAAATGCAATTTGTTGTAGTTGTTAAGGCTTCTTATGATGTACTGCATTTCAACATGTCTCCTCGTGATTATTAACTGTAAACGCATTTCCATTTATCGTCAGATCTGTGCCACAGCCTAATTTTAGCTAATCTCCGTCAACCATGCAGCCTCCGGATGGCAACCCAAATCAAAAAGCCTGTCTTCTTGCCAAAACCAGGCTTATCCCAGTAATAACTGCATCACTTGCTGTCTGTGTTTGATGCTGTGGCTGCAGATGGCTACCATGGCTAAGCCTGGGATAATGCGTATGTGTGTAACATGAACTGAGGGAGGAGAGCGTGGCAGCCTTAACTTAGAGCAAACCATTGCTTTTTGAAGTCACATGACCTCATCGTGCAGAGTCTTGGTTGATACCACACAGCTATGAGTGATTATTGGTGCGAACCTGCTCTCAGAGGGAAAATGTTACCAGGCCATGCAAATGGCTTGAAGCAAGTAAAGCCCAGGACATCTGGAATTAAGTCCTGTGTCAAAAAAGTCACAGTGCTCATATTTGATGTCCTCCACCAAGGAGCTTATGTTTACACCCCTGCCTTCTTGATTTTTGGTTTATTTGTTTTTTGCGTAATCTTGCTTAAAAACAAACCACCGGGTGGATTTCCATGAAACTTGGTGGAAGAATGTGGTAAAGGTCATGGAACAACCCACCCAAAAATTGTAATCACTTTCTTTGACATTGTGAGATAAGGTGTTTTAAAAAAAAAAATTTACTCAGTGGTCTATATTTATATAGAGTTTTACATTCAACCATTCACACATATTCATACAGTGCATCATTGTGCAGCACTTTCCCTATGAGAAAGGGCAATTGTGGGTTTCAGTATCTTGCCTAAGGACACTTCGGCATATGGAATGTGGAAGACTGAGATCGAACCGCCGACCCTCTGGTTAAGACCCGCTCTTGAACCACAGCTGCCCTAAAGTGCCTAATTTCCATTTGGTGCAGAGCCAAATAAAAATCTAGATCTAGTGAATTAAAATGTGGTTTCATTAGGGGACTTTTGAGCTTTAGCGGAGGAATGTGCTCCACTGAGTGCCATTCTAGATGACCTTTGTGGATTTAAGCTTTTATTCCAGTTTTTTTTTTACCTTACTTAACTTTTTTTCCATTTTACAGGCCTGATTATGGAAAATGCACAATTGTTAAGCCTTTAAGGCTTGGAATTACTTCACTGATGAACGTTATTAGTGCTTATATCATTGCCATGCTTAAATGTAAAAATAACAATACAGCAGCTAAATTAAAAAGCCTCACCCTGCTGTTAAAGCACAGAGCGTTCTTCTTGGTCATATTAACAAAACAACTTTTGGCTTCATCCACAGAGTCCAGCTGTTGTCCATCTGTGGTTGTGAGCCCCTCAAGCAACATTAGCTTGTGTATATTTGGAGAACAGTTTGCTGGAATGCTTTGCTGTACTTTTACACCTTTGTTTACACATGTGTATATTTACAGGTACACTGGGGGTGGGGCAGTTTACCTTCAGTCTGTACACCAACTTGAACATGTCTTCTTTTACGTCCTCAGATAAACTACAGTAGTGATCGACAACTGAGTCGGAATCACACAGACACTCACGGGTATAGATCTCCATCATGGCAACAATACTAAAATAATAATTTCATGTTTGGCAATTTGTCTTCAAAGTAAAAGCACATTTGTTTTGTTATTGCAATGCTTTATATCAAGCTTTTATTTTGAAGAGAGAACTTTAATCTGAACATTGTGTCACTTACTTAACAGACCCCTGAAATGGGTTTTCACTGCCATGTATGTATGAAAAAAATACTACGAGTTCAACAAATTATTCAAGTCATTTTACTCTAAAGTCTTCACTGTAAATAAACCAGGTAGGATGAATAGGATACATTTTCCAACCTGCACCATAGACTTATAATAAAAGTTTGCACACAACATCCATCACCTAAACGACAAAAGTGACAGTATATTATAGAACTGTTTGAGGAGGACTCCCTAATGAGAGGAATAATTCTGAGCTCTGCACTGCACTACATCTCTAATTTCATATCCTATGGAACATACATGTCGTTTGTCATTCTGTATTTTTTGGATGTGAAGTCGACCGTACAGAGTCATTAAGTTTATAAAAAGTCAATCTCATCTTTCAACCGTGTAATGGAAAGGGTCGCTTTACTCGAGGCCACCACCATGCATCGGCGGCGGCGCTGCAGTGCGCGCAAAGGAGAGTGCGCACGCCCGGAGTGCTGCTGCGCGCCCCCGCCTGCGAGTGTGTGTGCGTGTGGCTCTGTGTGTGTGAGTGTGTGTGTGTGTGTGTGTGTGTGTGAAGTGGTGGGGGAGAGGAAGAGGAGACCAGTGACTGAGGCAGAGGAGACAAGTGCAGGAGGCTGTCGGCGCAGAGGAGACTCTCTCCGCGTAAATAAGAAGCACAGCAGACGCATCGCTCCTCCTGACGCAGGGGAGCGGAGGAGCTACACAACAACCACAGGCTCCGAGCTTCGAGGGGAAAAACAAGGTGAGCTGAGTGATATCCATTCATAACAAACACGTGTCGTGTGGTTGTGTGTACGGTTCCGCTGTCAGGAGTTTGTGGAGAGGGGGAGCAGCACTTAGGATGCTGGGAAGGCAGCCGGAGGAATCAGCCCTGTCCTCAGGAACGCAAAGGAAGACACCAGAGGTTGTGTGTGTTTTAATGCTGGATCTGTGAGAAACCCACATTTAGGTGTTAAAATGTAGCACTGAGGAGGGAGCAGGTGCAGGGAGTCAAACCAGAGATTGACACAGAGAAAAGATGCTGAGACAAATATCTGTCACTTATCTTCCACTGAAGCATTCTGGCTTCATGATGGAGAGATAATAGATGGATAGTGATACAGATAGATGTTTGTCCTTCTTTGTTAATGAAATTGGTTTCCTCATTCACAAAATCCCTCATGCCTTATTATTTGCTGTCAATTACTTTGTCTGAACCTTTATGATCTGTCTTTGGCTCCACAAACGATGGATAGAGAGATAGATAGATAAATAGAAGGATAGATAGATAGAAAGATAGAATGATAGATGGATAGATGGATGGATAGATGTTTTTGTCCTGCTGTGTTGCTGAAATTGCTGAAATCCCTCTTGCCTTGTAAGCTGATTTGGCTCCCCGCATGTTTAATTCCCTTCATATTCATATCACACAAGTCTGCCTTGTTTTGACTGACCGCTCAGTTTGTTAAGTCTCATTCGCACAATCATCACACTCAATCTGATTATGACAGATCTCCTGAGATTCCCCACCAACATCCCATCACGCCATTTATTTTCACAAAACAACCGCTCCACTGGAAACCCACATTCCCATCAATCCCCCTCCTCCTCCTCCTCATCCTCCTCCTCCCTCTGTCTGCTCTTGGTCAAAGCTTCAGCCTCACCCCCCTCATCCCCAGACACTCTCACTCACTCATACATACATACATACACACACACACAAACATGCCTCGGCTGCACACTTTCGCTGCCTGCCCGCTCAGATACAGCCACGTTAATACAATGCTAATGACCCCTGCTTCATTGTCTGAAGCTCTTGTTCTTGCTGCTCTCTGGACGGGCTGACACACTTTCCAACCATGTTGATTCTCTCTGGGGTAGTCCACTGTTAATCTCTTTAAGAAGATAACAATATCCCCTCTATCCCAGCCTTATGTCTGCTCTGCATTAATTCAAAACAGGCGGCAAAACGTGTGTGCGTGTGACACCACTTTACAGACGTACGTCCCCAACTTTTTGGTGGAGCCATCATTCGTGTTGTGTGACCATGGCGAGTCAGGACGTTGCTTGACTCCGGAGAGCCACTGCTCTTCGAGCTTCCACTGACTGGACATTTCTGGCTCATCTGACCGACGTGGAGAAATCAGGACTAGATAGTGACCTACATTGTGCTGCCATCTTTACTTTCACCCTCGGCACAAATGGCACCAGGCGGGCAGATTTGCATAACTAAGGGATTATCATGACACACGTTGGCTGGAGTTATTGTGAGAGCACCAGTCAGTCACACAGCTGACCCCGAAACCAGTGGCGGGCAGCTCTGCTCCGGGGGCTGTGGGAAAAGCTTGGGTGTTGGAGGGAAAATGCCACTTATTTGGCAGCGTGGGCCACACAAACACGCAGGCTATGTCGCAAGAAGCGATCAACGCTCCTTCTGTTAGTGGCCGTCTGTGGCATTGTGAACTCTGCCAACCGCAGGATGGGACAAAGTGTCTCATAGAAAGATTTGCTCTGTGTCACTTGTGATGATGCTAATGACATCATTTCTTAGAGGAACTGATGTGAACCTGAGACACTTTCACTTGATGATTAATTTTCTCCGAGGCCGCACTTTGTTTGCTTGGAGGAAAATGCCCTTTTCATGTATTCAAAGGTGGGAATTATATGAAGTCAACACATTTCTTTGAGAGTAGGAGACATTTAGAGTCAATAGAGATGAGAGTCAAGTCTAAGACTCTATCCTCTCTGCTGTGTGGCATCTAATGGATTCTAGTTGTTTCTAATTTGGTAATAAACTGTAGTTTTCACCAACGTTTCTATGAGTTATAATAGTTTGTTCTTCTAAAACTGATTGTCCCAACTGTAAAAGGACAAGAAATGAGTAATGGGACGAGAGATTAATTTATTTCTTCAGTTAATTGATTGTTTGACAAGAAATATTTTGTTGTTGTGATAATTTTTTAATCGGTTTACTCAAGGAAAACATGTCACTGTAGATCTTTGCATTTTAGTTTCTCTTACGTGTTTCCAATTCGGACATTTTCCTTCTGTATTCTCACATGGGCTCACATACATTTCCTGGACATCTTACTTGGGAGCTGGCATGTCAGGAGCAACTGACTCTGACATTTGCATTCTCACTTACAGCCCCTCCTAATGTGAAGAGTTCAATGCATGTCTGAAAGCAGCTTATGTGTCTTTGTCTTCTAAAAAATGAAAAGAGTTACTTTTTGGGCTGATGGTTAATTGAAACAAGCATGAGCTACAGGAAGATTTCTAGACAAAACAAGTAGTTGATTAATCAAGTTTTTCAAAATAATAACAAGTTAGGTTTTAGTTGAATTGTATAATTATTTTCCAGCTCTTGATCAGATGGTCAGACAGGACAGGACACCTAACATGTTAAAGGAAAACTGCATGTACAGCTGCAGTAGCTACAATAGGTACAATTTGAACCAGTGTTTTGGTTTGTGAGTTGCAATTAATGTTTAAAATGAACATTAGTGACTTTTTAACTCAGGAGGAGGTTTAGAACCTCCGTCTGTGCTCTCTGTCCCATGACTCCTGTTTACTATTGATGCCATGTTTCCAGTTATCTGTCCCAGGACAGTGCTGTTGCTATGGTTAGCTTTAATGACCAAGGCTATAAAACCGAGGTGCAGGTTTAAGAAAAGTGGAATCCTTGTTTAATAAAGATGCACAGCCATTTGTCTTTCATGCAGAATTGCATAAGCCCAAGTTCAATAATAAAGTGGCATCATAGGTCACTGACACCGCTGATTGACAGAATGATTGTGTGTGTGTTCAGGCGACACGTGTTCTGTTGCCCTGAGTGGGGACGATGCAGCAGCCGTCATGAATAGAAGTGCTGTGCTGCTCAGCTGTGATGAGGCTAAATCTCCGGGGACTGATGGAGGCCCCTGCCTATCCATTAGTGTCACGGCGGTCTGGGTGTTTCTTCCCAGTGAGCCCGTCGCACACAGGGGCACAGCATGCTGACACCGCCCGGTCCTCCTTGTCACAAGCATGTTCATCTCATTTTGGGGCTGATGAGCGCCTCATTAGACCACTACAGAGGGAGTGCTGTGCCCCCCCGCTTCACGGCTGCACTTCAACAAATGCATGCAGGGGCATATGAGTGCATGTAAAGAAAGACATACATGTTCATTATAGACAAACACTCACTCTCTCTCTCTCTCGCTCTCTCGCTCACTGCTAGGTGCAATTACAGTTTCACACTCAGTTAAGCAGCGGCTCTAATGGGGATTGACACGTTCCTGTGAATCCACTCCCCACAGCTGCAACTGTTGATGTTTACATGCTGGACCTGTTAATATTACCATGAGTGGATGGTGACAGATGGATATTAGGTGATTTATGTGTTGCTCACATACAAACTCTCACTGTTTACCTGAGTAATAAGATACAAAGATTCTCAGCTCAGTCGCTTTGCTGTTTTCAGTTCAATCTCCTGCGACGCTACAGCTTTAACCCTTTCAGATTTTGCTCAAACATGCTCTAGTTTTTCTGCTTTATATCATTTAAAATTTAGATTTTTTAAAAATCATCATTGGGAGGAAACAAAACATTAATAATAACGACCAAACGAAACTGTTGCAGCCCTGGTTTCGCCTTCTGTAGTTTATCTGTTTTATAGCACCGTTAATTGACTGTTTTGGGGATTTGGAAAGTATGTTGAACAAAAACAAGACGTGAAGATGTCCCCTTGGGTTTCTGGAAGTCTGTTCACTTTTGTTTGACATTTTAAAGACCAATGAATTCATCAGAACATAACTGACAAACACATTGGTAAAGAAACGTAAACAAATTGCCCCCCTGTAATGCTTCAAAGCTTAAATTACATTCATTAGAGCAGAATCTATTGATGTATTAGCAATTGATAGTAGAATATATGACACAATTTTGATGATTTCAATTATTATTCAAGTCATTTCTCAGATCAAAAATATCTTTGGATTTTAGATTACTGGAAATGTCAACTTGACCTCTGGGATATTTTGAGGGACATTTTCACTACTTCTTGACATTTCATCCCTCTATTATTTACAGCCTATCCTTTGAGGGTCGTGGGGGAGCTAGAGCCAATCCCAGCTGGCCTTGGGAGAGAGGTGGATTACACCCTGGACAGGTCGCCAGTGTATTGCAGGGCCAACATACAGAGATAACACTGACGCTCGTATGGACTCCTATGGACAATCTAGAGTCTACAATTAACCCCAATCTTGCATGTGTGGCAGGAAGCTGGAGTAATTTGGGAAAATAATGCTGTCTTCTATGAATTAATGTTCAGTTCTGTAAGATTAAGTTGGCAGTAGGTGGACAGATGGTGAAAGAGTAGCGGTCAGTGCAGGTGTCCCTGAACAACTCACTGTGACCGAATCATTACACCAGACCTCCTCACCATGACAGTCATCAAGCCCAATCAGTCAAGGTTGCCCAGGGAGTGCTGCTATCTCCCACATCAGGTTATTACAAGCCTCAGTGAGAACAAAGCATTTAAAGATGCTCTTTTCTGTTCAAACCAACTGCGCAGGGAGAAGCAGCAATAGATCCCCCTTTTGAAGTGGCAGGTTGGGATAATGGAGTGTAGTGTTGTGGGTTTAATGTTTCCTCTCTACCCCCAATAGAACACCTGACAGGTTAACTAGCTCCGTATACCATTGGATCTGGCTCCCAGTCGGCCTTGAGTTTAGGGAGCTGAAGTGAACAGATGAAGATGAGAATTGACATGTGGGCTCAGGG